CTATATAACATGCCCCATCACTGACAATCTCATTCCGAATATGAGAAGCTATTTCCCTACATGGAACCTGTTTGACAGCATCAACACGTTAAACAACTGCAATACCAGAAAGCTTTGATATAATTGCAACTGCTTTCTGTACCCAATATTTATTGGCAGAAAGAGGTGGTAACATTTCATTCGAAACCTTTGAAGCACCCTTGGTCTTTTCTTCATCAATTAAACAGTCTGAGTCAAGACTGTGAAATGATTTTGTTACTACTTTTTGACCCACAAAGTCATTGTTAGGAACAGTTACACAATCAGCACCAGTCGTTTTGTGGTCTTTCATTTTGAATGGAAAAGGGGTCAGCGAACACCTTGGTACAGAGAGCTCCCACTTCTTATTTTGAAACAAAGTTGGAGTGCATACAGAAGGAGAACCTACTTCTTCAGCCACTGCTATATAGAAAATTTGCTGTTTTAATTTCGATGGACTTGGTGTCATTGATGGTGTAGGGCACTTACTTAAAGATAACTGTACCTGCCGCATCTTGTGGATAGATGTTGGACTACTTTTGGATGGAACAGATGCCAGCGGTACTGAGAAAAATCTCCCTTTTTATTCTGCAACAAAATTGGAGTACGTACAGAAGGAGAACCCACTATTTCAGCCATTGCTAAATGGGAACTTTGCTTATTTAATTTTGATGGGCCTGCGGTCATCGACGGTGAAGGGCACTTACTTAATGATACATGTACCTCTGACATGTTGTCCACAGAAGTTTGAGTACATATGGAGTGAGAGCCTACTTTATGAACAGTTGATACAGTGTGTGAATTGTGCACCACAGGAGTACTTTGCCGTGGAATTTGTAGTAGAACAGGAGTATTAGATGGCGAACAGCATTTTGATACAGATATCTTCAACTTTTTACCAAGGATAAAAGATGGAGTGGATACACTAGGAGAGCCTACTTTTTCAGCAGTTGATGCATTGCATGGCACAGTGACACTTCCAAGAGCAGAGGTACTTTGGTCTTTAATTTTTGATAGGACTAATGGAGAAGGGACTTTCGGTGAATACAGACCCATTTTCTTAATGGCGGTGTCCACAAGGCACCAGGAGTGAGTGAACTGTCCATAGATCTTTTCCTATTTCTTACATTATCAGGGCAATCCCATTTCTGACATGGTAAATTGGGACATGCCCACGATTCAACAACCATTTTATCACTTAGGGAACATTCAAAGTCATAATAATCATCGTCATATTCAGATACTTTGTCCTCACTTTTGGATGCATTGAAGGTATTATAATATTCCAGTAGCAGTATCACAGGTTCTCCTCAGTGGACAACTCTTGTGGGATGTCCTTCTGTGGGTTGTTGAGCCACATTTGCATTTGTCAGTCAAGGCATCTGCAATTACTTCTTCAGAAGATGCATCCCTTTCATAATCATGATTCATTGCACTCTCTTTTACAAACAATTGCTTGCGTTGATGTTCAGACTTTACGCTTTCTCTCATAAAGCTTCATCCTTGCTTTAGCAACATTGGTCTTCCTGCTTTCTATATCAGAAAATCTACCTGCATTCAGCTTCTCCAAGATGGATGGAAGATTCTCAACAACAGGAAGGCACATCCGCTCAATGATGTCAAGAATATAGTGGTACTGAGGACCACGCTTTGTAAAAAAGAGGCCATGCAACCTTGAATGAGACCTATGTTGGTTGAAACGTGGTAGTGAAGACGTGCAAGGTTCCAATTTTTGGACCTATACCTAACAAGCACATTTTTCGAAGCTTCAACAGGGTTTGTTGTGACTTTACCTATTTCAGGATGTATGAATACATCAGCCAGACCGGCCTTTTCTTGACACTTCAACTTGTAAGCTAGGGTATGAAAAGGGCACTTCAAAACGTGGTCAGTTTTGTAAGCTTTTCCATGGCATTTTAAATTGTATTTATCTGTACAAGAACCACAGCTAGACACTACTAATGGGTGAAAATCACACTGGCCACCATCCCCATGGTGTTTATCCTGAAATTTGTGCATTGCCAAGGTTATTCATTTCTCTGAGAAAACATTGGGGTCATTGCCAGCATTTGTAAGGCACATTTGAAATGAGGCTTTGGCTTTTCTAATGAACTTCTCAGTGAGGCAACCACAATGCTTGGCATGCTTTTCCCCTTGCAGTAACATTCTACTTTAACACTATTATCAGTTGTCATTTGTTTTAATTTACGCAATTTGTCTAACTTTATAGTATGATTCTTGGCAACATGATTGCCACACCGCAAAACCCGACGAAGTGGAAAGTGTTACCAGAGAACAGTCTCAGATGTGCTGTCTCTGTCTTGAATGTGGCATTCCACATTCATTTAATCCTTGACCATGAGCTTGAAAACCTCATTAGCGCCAAAACCTTCTGCTGCTTTTGAAGTGCCTTCATATATGTTATCTTGACACAAATCGTCACATCCCTTTTGACAGATGTGATAATATTACAAAAGAGCACCAGTCAAGTAATTTCTGACAGTGTATGTGCAGTTTCGCCTGAAACTGCCTCTTGTGAGCCAAACCGCATCGCCACAGGTAACAGCCCTCTTCCAGCTCCCTAATTTTTTCTAATCCATATGTTGCATTTCCTTTCTGGCTTCCACGCAAATGCCATCTAAAATGTCGTTCACATGTTCATACATCTCTTTAAGTGTCCCAAAAAAACAGTCGTTGACTGTATGCATTCCAAGGATGTGGTGAAACATTTTCTTATATATGGCACAAGATCCTCCAGAACAAGTTGTAGCAACTTGTAAAATCTTAGAAACAGCAGCATCACCAATCTCCCTCTGAGATGAGGTTTCAAATTTGACATTGCAGCTACCACAATTGGTACAGCTAAAAGAGAGTGATGCTGCTCCCCCCAGGCCAGCCAGTTCTATCGAGTTTACCTTCAATTTACCTTGACAATTGGTCTCCTGGCAAATTGAAAATTGTTTCACAAATTTGACCATCTGTGTAGTCTCTGTGACAACCATGCAATTACTGGTAGCATCTATGGGCAAATTACTCTTGCAAGGAGTATCCAGTCTAAATGTGCAATCAGGTTCACCTGGAGTGGGTTTTTCATTTTCAGTGGCACCAAGAATATTGTCCTTTTCCACAGAAGGTACTGGTTCTTCAGTATGAATCTGTAACACAGAGAATGGAGTGACGGAGCCAACACTTGACATTAATTTTGTCACTATAAAACATTTTGGTCATATAACTAGTTATAGCTTTTTATTTGGATAAAACCTCAAAACACGAGGTCAAACATGCCCACTTGTTGAGAGAATAATCATTACTTATTCAGTATTAATGTAATGATAATTTATCTTTGTTAATCAGTGAATAATCCTAGAAGCCCATCATTGAAACATTTATGCCAGTAACTCTGCAGTAACGTGGAACTTTTCCCTCACATGCAAGAGCTACTAATGATATTTTATTTTTTGATGTGATATACAAGAAGGTGAAAAAAAGATAAGTAGCAACAGTAGTACACAGGTAGTGTGCAGGTAGTAATTTTACTTTGTTACTCTTTACTGCACTACGGCCAGAAAGTACTGTTGGTACCGCCCTGTCACATGTTCCGTGTAACAAGCACTCATTCACTCTAGAGGCTCTCAATGGACTTGAGCATACTTCGCTTGGCTGTCTTTACTCTCCAAGCTCATCTCTACTGCTGCTCTCTGCTTATACAAGGCCGTTTAGGAGGCTCTTTGCTCGATTCACTTTTGAGTTACTGTCCTGCTGCTGACCACAAGGACTACTGCCACTGGTAGGTGTGCATGCGCAACGAAGGAGCAGCAAACTGAAGTTTAGAGAGAAAAAAAGCTAAGTAGCTGCAGCGTTACTACTCTTGTACTGTGCAGTTAAGTACCTTCCATTGTGTAGGATAGACCCTTGCGTAGGATAGACCCTTGTGCTGTGCTTGTATTGCGCATGCGCAGAGTAGCTGGTGGGCAGGGTAGTCAGCACAACTACCCTATGCAGCTACTCTATACTACTATTCCATGGCTACTCTGCCGTCTACTACTTAGAGTCAGAAAGATTGTACAGTACGAAAGAGAAGTGCACCAGGTATCTAAATTATTTTTGTTATTATTATTATTATTATTATTATTATTATTATTGTTATTAGTTACTTGTTAACAAAGAGAGGGTAAGAAAGATAGTACAGTACAAAAGAGCAGTGCAGCAGGTAATTAAGTTGTTGTTGTTGTTATTACTGTTATTATTATTATTATTATTACTATCATTAGTTACTCATACACAAGGAGAGGGTCAGAAAGATGGTACAGTACAAAAGGGAAGTGCACTAGGTAATAAAATTGTTGTTGTTGTTGTTGTTATTATTATTATTATTATTATTATCATTATTATTAGTTACTCGTACACAAGGAGAGGGTCAGAAAGATAGTGCAGTACAAAAGAGAAGTGCACCAGGTAATTAAACTATTGTTGTTGTTGTTGTTCTTCTTATTATTATTATTATTATTATCATTATTAGTTACCCGTGCACAAAGAGAGGGTCACAAAGATAGTACACTACAAAAGAGAAGTGCACCAGGTAATTAAATTGTTGTGGTTATTGTTATTATTATTATTATTATTATTGGGGTGAGCCTGAGTGAGCCCCACATATACGAGACATGTATGTCTGTCAGTTTGTTTGTACACATACGTCACCCCTATTTAAGTGTTTTATAATAATATAATTACACATTTTAAATGATAATTTTAATAATTACGGCACTCTGTGCAAAGAGTAGAGTCTACTAATTTTTTATAATATTCAAGAAACAAGAGAACCTTAAAGCAAGAATAATTCACAAGAAGATGCTCGTGAAGCTCGTTGACTTAGTCGTAATGAGTGTGATCGGGAGAGACGAAGCGAAACCGAGGAGGAGAAAAGAGCGAGGAGGCTTAATAGAAATGCCAGAGTTAGGTCTCATCACGTCCAAAGACAACAAATGGAGTCTCCTTCTGACAATGAAGATCGCCTGTCTCAAGAAAGAGCCAAGATACAAGAGATAAGGGAACAAGAGGAACCTGCCGCAAGAGAGCAACAATTAGAAAGTGAAAGAGCTCGAGTAACATGGAGGAGAGAACAAGAGGACCGTGCTGAGAGAGCAGAGATTAGCAGGTAATAGAGCTCGAGTTACTTTGAGGAGAAAACAAGAGGACCCTGCTGAGAGAGCAGAGATTAGCAGGTAATAGAGCTCGAGTTACTTTGAGGAGAGAACAAGAGGACCCTGCTGAGAGAGAGCAGAGATTAGCAGGTAATAGAGCTCGAGTTACTTTGAGGAGAGAACAAGAGGACCCTGCTGAGAGAGAGCAGAGATTAGCAGGTAATAGAGCTCGAGTTACTTTGAGGAGAGAACAAGAGGACCCTGCTGAGAGAGAGCAGAGATTAGCAGGTGACAGAGCTCGAGTTACTTTGAGGAGAGAACAAGAGGACCCTGCTGAGAGGGAGCAGAGATTAGCAGGTGATAGAGCTCAAGTTACTTTGAAGAGAGAACAAGAGGACACTGCTGAGAGAGAGCAGAGACTAGCAGGTGATAGAGCTTGAGTTACTTTGAGGAGAGAATGAGAGGACCCTGCTGAGAGAGATGAACCGCTGGCAGGTAATAGAGCTAGGGCTGCTCAACGCAGGAGACTAGAGGATGAAGAGGTTCTGCCTATCAACACACAGATGTTGAACCTTCACAAGAAACTTCCGTTACTTCTAAGTGTGAGACATGTTTGGAAAGCTTTCCCAACCTGTCAGTCTCCCCTCAGCTCAATGGGGTCATTGAGTGTAAGAAGTGTGTTCAAAAAATTACCAAAGTCATTGTAAAGTAATGATGCTCACTCAATTTTAAGCTATGCATAGTCTTATGACTCCCGAAGGCTCGCCCCTTTAATGTTCTACATTTGTCTAGTTATTATTATTATTATTATTATAGTTACTCGTACACAAAGGGAGGGTCAGAAAGATACAGTAGTACAGTACAAAAGAGAAGTGCTCCAGGTAATTTTATTGTTCTTGTTGTTATTATTATTATTATTATTATTATCATTATTAGTTACTCATACACAAGGAGAGGGTCAGAAAGATAGTACAGTACAAAAGAGAAGTGCACCAGGTAATTAAATTGTTGTTATTCGTCGCCTTCAATGTGATGTTCCATCTAGTGCAGTTAAAGACTTACGTAGACTTGGGCTGTTATCTCCTAATGATTCACAGCCTCGTCCAATACTTGTTACCCTTAACCGTTCTAAAGATGTGGTCTCTGTTCTCTCCAAGCGTGGTTCTTCTCCTTCACATTATGTCGTTAAACCATTTATGTCTAAAAAAGAGAGACATACAGAATTTCTTTTTACTAAATGAAATGTGGAGACTAATCAAATCTGGTACAGCGGGGGATGACATTCGCCTTAGTAAAGCTTCCCTTTTTGTCAATGGGGAACTTTATGCTACAGTTACTAACACTGGCTTATCTCATGTCGACCACTCTTCCCATGCTGCATCCGATTCCACCGAATCTCATACTGAAACTCCTCAAGCTTGGTCTCCAGCCTCAACGCCAGATGTTTGTACTAGTCTCCTTTCAGGAAGAGCTGCCCATTCCTCCTGACTAGACCTATCTACATGTCTTATAAATGCCAGAAGTGTTGTGAACAAAATGTCTTCAGTTCAATCCTTCCTGATCTCCTGAGGTGTTGAGGTGTTTGCCTGCACTGAATCTTGGCTATCTTCTAATGTCTTTAATCAGGAATTTATCCCCCCCGGCCACCTTGTCTTCTGACATGATAGAGATGGTCGTGGAGGTGGTGTCCTTTTAGTAGTTAAAGACTACATCCCCTGTACCATCTTACCATGCTCTGATGCAGAGTTACAGCAGATCACTGTCTCGATTGGCACTTCTCCTGTCTCTCTTTGTGTCCTCTACCGTCCTCCTAATGCCTCAACCAAACATGATCAGTCTGTTACTGACTATATTGACTCCCTGGCAGCTACGAGTAATGAAGTCATAGTACTTGGTGACCTAAATGTGCCTGACATTAACTTGGAAACCCTCACAGGAGCCTCCACTTTCTCTAAGTCTCTATGTAAAGCTGTTTTTCACAGCAATCTAACCCAACTAGTAGACTCTCCCACCAATGTAAAGGGTAATATCCTAGACTTAATTTTAACTAATGATTGCTCTCTGATTGAGCATTATAAATGTATCAAGATCTTCTCCATTTAACTCTGATCACTTTGCTATTTTTTGTCAGATCCTCTGCCACTCCCACAATCCCAGACCCAGCCCATCTAGCTTGAGTCCATTAATGTACAACTATGCTAAGGCAGACTGGGTTAGACTTGCTGACTATCTCTTAGAATATGACTTTAGTCACTGTTTTACTGAACCTGATATTGACACTTCCTGGTCTCGCTTCAAGGATGCTATCCATGGACAAATTTTTCCCCCGCACTCGTGCTCTCTCTACAACTCATCCCGCCCCATGGCTTCGTGGTCTTCTCCTCCATCAACTTAAGCAGCTACTGTCTCTCAGAAGACACTACAAAATGACTCCTATTCTCTGAAGGCCAAACTCGCTGTCAAAGAGCTCGCTTTCTCTCTATCCTTTGCGGAGGCCAAACCTCAATACGAAGTCAAACCTGTTAAAGAACACAGGAGAGACTACACTTGTCTCTACCGCTATATACGCTCTATGATTAAGTCAGCTGAGCTCCCCCACACAATGTGTTTTGGGTCTAAACTTGCATCAGATGACCTTGACAAGGCTACATTCTTTAATGAGTATTTCTACTCTGTATTCACCAGGGGTTGTTCTAGTGATCCTTACCCGCCCCACTCCTCTCCCCCTACTTCAGCCCATATCGACTCTATAATCTTGGAAGAAGTTTATAAAATCCTCACTTCTCTCAAAATCACTAAAGCACCTGGCATGGATGGTATGGTTCCTGCCCTCCTGAAACAGAGTGCCTTAGCCCTCACTTCCCCTATCACTCACCTCTTCAACCTCTCTCTCTCTACCAGTACTTTACCTCAGGACTGGCGCACTCACTATATCAAGCCTATTTTCAAGTCTAAGGATAGGACATCTGGCCAAAACTATCGTCCCATCACATTACTCCCAGTCATTTCGAAAGTTCTGGAGAGAATTGTCCATAACAGGCTTACAATAATACTAGGTGAGTCAATATCCCCTAATCAATACGGGTTTTTACTTTCACGATCTACTGTCTAACAAATGTTAACTATGATGCAAATGTGTACGAAGCCTTGGACAATAAGAGCTGTGTCGACTGCATCTACCTAGACTTCCAGAAGACATTCAATTCCGTCCCTCATAACAAGCTTCTGCTGAAATTGAGGAAGTCTGGTATTGTGAGTCCTCTATGGGACTGGCTTCATGTCTATTTATCTGAGAGGCATCAGTGTGTAGTAGTTAATGGTACTACATCCAGTTTCTTAAAGGTCTTGAATGGGGTTCCTCAGGGGAGCGTTCTTGGGCCCCTACTATTATTAATTTACATTAATGACCTATCAACCCTTAGTGTTCCTTCCGACATAAAACTATTTGCAGATGACTATAAATGTCTCCAGACTATTTCTACTACTAGAGATTGCTCCCTTCTTCAAGACAGCCTAGACAGTGCTCTTCAGTGGAGTAAGGATTGGGATCTTGCTTTCAATACCAGCAAGACCAATCATGTCCGTTTCTTCTGACAATACTCTTCCCAGCCTCCATTTGATTATATGATCGATGGCTGTACTATTCCCCACTGTGATCATATTCGAGACTTGGGTTTTTACCTCTCTAGTGATCTATCATGGAGCACTCACCTCCACTATTATAAAGCCTATAAAGTCCTAGGTTTGCTGAAGAGATCTTTTAGCAGTAACAATGTCCAGGTTAAGAAGAAGCTATATCTCACACTGGTCCGCTCAATTCTATCTTATGGAGTACAGATTTGTCGTCCTACTTCTATTAAGGACCTCAGTGCTATTGAAAGAGTACAATGTCGAGCAACCAAGTATATCCTCTCTGACTATCATTTGGACTACAAATCCCTCCTAACCGCTCTAGGTCTCCTCCCTCTCTCTTTGTACTTTGAGTACCTTGACATCTCTTTTGCCCTCGTCTCTCTTCACAACTCCTCAGACCCTATTTATACTGTTTCCTTCAATATTCTCTCATATATCTTTTAGTAATAATAACTCCAGAAACGGCAATCACTTAAAACTGTCCCACAAATTTTCTCGCTTTTCCCAAACTTCTAGCTCCTATTTCTTCAGGCTCCCTAAGCTTTGGAACAGTCTTCCATCCTTTGATCTCTCTCTCCCCCTCTACTAATTGTAATAAATTAAATCATTTTTATGGCATCACTTCTTATGTTCATTTGATTCCAATAATTTATGCACTTATGACTATAAATGTTTATGTTGTAAATGTTTTAATCTTTCTCTCCCTCCTAACTTCTC